CATAAAAATGGGAGTTAGAAATAGAAGAGTTACCAGTCACAAAACATTTATTGTTTCTTTCTGGTTCACTTACTTGACTGATTACCTAAGGATCTTGCAGCTTTTCCCCTTGTCATGTGGTCAGCCCAGTAAAGTGAGAAATTCAGCTTTTGAATTGGAACTTGGGAAGATGAACATGCATGATTTCTCACATAATATTAGGGGTGCACTTCCTGGATGCTGCTACTGGGGTGTGGTTAAAGGCACCTATCATAGTGCCTGGGTTCAAGTCTTTCTCTGCCATTTACCAGCTGTGTGCCTATGGGCAGGTGTCATAACTTCTCTCTGTGTCTTTCTGTTTCAGTAACATGGAGGAATGATTGCTGTTGTTAGGTGCCATTGAGTAGGTACTGGCTCACAGTGACCCTGTGCACAACAAAATGAAACACTGCTTGGTCATAACTCACAATCATTGCTACATTTGAGCCCATCACTGCTGTCACTGTGCCAATCCATGTCATTGGGGGGTCTTCCTCCTATTCTCTGACCTTCCATTTTACCAAACATGATATCTTTCTGCAGGGACTGATCCTTCCTGACAGTATGTCCAAAATATGAAAGACAAAGTCTGGCTGTCCTGGCTTCCAGGGAGCATTCTCAATGTACTTCTTCCAATACAAATTAATTTGTTCTTTTGGCAATCCATGGTACTTTTAATACTCTCCTCCTACACCATAGCCGAAATATATCAGTTATTCCTTATTCGCTGTCCAACTATCATATGCATATGAGGTTATTGAAAATACCATGGCTTGGGTCAGGTGCACCTTATTCCTCAAAGTAACATCTTTGCTCTTCAACTCTTTAAAGATGTCTTGTATGACAGATTTCCTTACTGCAATACATTGCTTGATTTCTTGACTGCTACTTTCATGACTGTTGATGGCTAATCTGAACAAAATGAAGTCATTGACAGCTTCAATCTTTTCTCTATTTATATGGATTTTATTTATTGGTCCAGTGGTAAGGAGTTTTGATTTCTTTACATTGAAGTGCAACCCATACCAAAGATTGTGGTCTTTTATCTTCATCAGTAAGTATTTCAAGTCCTCCTCACTTTCAGCAAGCAAGTTTCTATCATCTGCATATTGCAGATTGTTAATGAGTTTTCCTCCAATCCTGATGCTGTGATTTTCATCATATATTCCAGCCTCTCGGATTATTTGCTCAGCATACAGACTGAATAAGTATGGTGAAAGAATGCAACCCTGATGCAGAACTGCCTAATTTGAAACCATTCAGTGTTCCTTTGTACTGTTCAAACAACTGCTTCTTGGTACAGGTTCCTCATGAGTGTAATTAAGTGTTCTGGAATACTCATTCTTCACAATGCTGTCTGTAGCTTGTCTTGATCCACACAATTGAAAGCCTGTGCATAGTCTTTGAAGCACAGGTAAACATCTTTCTGGTATTCTCTACTTTAAACCAAGATTGATCTAATGTCAACAATGATATACCTTGTTCCACATCCTCTTCTGAATCTGACTTGAACCTTTGGAATTTCTGTCAATGTGTGAATACAGCCATTTAAAAATTATCTTTAATAATATTTTGCTTGCATGGGATATTAATGATATTGTCAGATGATTTCCACATTCCGCTGGGTCACCTCTCTTTGGAATGGGCACAAATATAGATCTCTTCTAGTCAGTTGGCCAGGTATCAGGTAGCTGTCTTCCAAATTTCTTGACATAAATGAGTGAGGACCTTCAGTGCTGCAGCAGTTTGATGAAAGGTTTTGATTTGTATTCATTCCATCAATTCCCACAGCCTTGCTCTTTGCTAATGTCTTCAATTCACCTTGGACTTCTTCCTTCAGTATCATTGGCTCTTGATCATATGCTACCTCTTCAAATGGTTGAATAGCCATCATCTCTTTCTGGTACTGTGACTGTGTATTCCTTCCATCTTATTTAGAATAATGCTTCCTGTATTATTCAATATTATGCCCACAGAATCCTTCAATATTGCAAGTTGAGGCTTGAACTTTTTCTTCAGCTTCCTCAGCTTGAGTAGAGCTAAGTGTATTCCCCCTTTTGGTTTTCTAACTCCAGGTCTTTGCACATTTAGTTATAATGGAATGTTATAATGGGGAATGATGGTAGCTATTTTAAATGAGTGTTGTTGGGTTTAATGGGGGTGATGGGGATCTAGTATTCTGCACAGTGTCTGGCACATAGACAGTGCTCAGTGCAGTTAGTATTTTCAGTGTTATTGATTATTCTTAGGCCAGTGGTCAAGGTCATATAGAAGTTGGGACATTTCTAATACTGAATCATTAGGTATATGTAATTACTCTTGTAATTACTATTAAAAGGCAATTAGCTCTACTTGACTCTATCCTAGTGGTGGTATAGAAAGGGAAGTTAGTTCCACAGTTAGATGTTTAATCTACAGGAATTAGATGCTATAAACTGGAATGTTCCATCCAACTACCTTTCTGACTGAGAAGGATTATAAGGCCTATTTTAGCACTGAAGTCTTGTTGTATGGTTGAAGATGGAGCTGGTAATACATTTGGAGAAAAATGAAAGAAGATTGATAACAACAACCCACAACATAGCTGAGGCTGGTTTTGCCCTTGCTGTGTGCCTTATCTAAGTGAGTCACATCTAATTGACCCATTTAATCCTTATTAAATGTTCCTGCTATTCTCATTTTCAAAGGAGAAAGTAATCCCAGAGAAGTTAAATAACTTTGGCTTGGTTGTGGGATTCAAATCTAAATCTGAGTCCTGTTGTTGTTAGGTGCCATCGAGTCAGTACTGACTCATAGTGACCCTATGCACAACAGAACAAAACACTGCTCAATCCTGGGCCAACCTCACAATCGTTGCTATGCTTGAGCCCATTGATGCTGCCACTTTGCCAATCCATCTCTCTGGGGTCTTCCTCTTTTTCCCTGACCCTCCATCTTACCAAACAATGTATCCTTCTCCAGAGACTGGTCCCTCCTTACAATATGTCTGAAGTTTAAGAGACAAAGTTTGGCCATCCTGGCCTCCAAGGAGCACTCTGACTGCAGTTCTTCCAACACAAACCTGTCCTAGCCTTGACAAAATTTGAGTACAGTAAGATAAAGGATGTTGTAAATTGGTTGGCATAAACAGTTCCCAAATGCTGTTAGCTCCTTTTCTACTCTTCTTCTTCTTCTTCTTTCTTCTTCTTCTTCTTCTTTCTTCTTCTTCTTCATCTGTTTACTCTTTCTGTGTGGATGCAACATCTCCTAAAGATCAGAAGACTGAGATCCATCCCAGGACACTACATCAAAGTTCAGTTCTAATAACAGCAAAACCTTTTGAAATTCTAATTTTGAGGGGCAAAATTAACCTCTAGTTTTATAAGAATTATATCATATTGCTACCACCACCTTGCTTATGGTGTCTTGGAGGGGCACTGTGGTTTAATGTAAGGTCATCGGTTCAAATTCACCATCCTCTTCTCGGAAGCCCTATACAGGGTCTGTATGAATCAGAACTGACTCAACAGCACTTCATAACAACAACAATGTATTTTAATAGTTTAGTGTGTCTCATTCTATCATGCTGTGTATATAGAGGGCACAAGCAACATGCCAAAAAAATTGTTCACTTCCCCACCAGTTCTTAATAAGCAGTGTTTTTTTGTTTTTTTTTAAGTAATATAACTATATTAATAAAAGCAAACCAAACACTATGATGACAGAGTACTGTGCAACTTAAGTTTCCCTTCCACTCCTGAATATTAAATACACAAATCCACTCCCCAGTGCAAATTTCTTTGATATGTGCGTACCACTCCCCAGCTAGCCTTTCACACGAGGATGGAATTATGCGCACTCTGTTGTTCCTTGCTAATTTCACTTCATGTGCCTTGTGGAGCATTGTTTTTTGTTGTGAGCTACCCTTGAGTTCATCCCCTACTCATGGAGACCCTGTGTGTTACAGAGTAAAACTGCTGCATAAGTTTTTCTTGGCTGTAATCGTAACAGAAGCAGTTCACCTGGTTGTTTCTTCTTTGAAGCTATTGGTGGATTAGCAACCAATCACAAACCACTTGGGCTACTGTCCAGTCAGAACCCAGAGCATTACCTCATTGTAATGGCCCCATAATAGTCCATCATTAGCACATAGTAATCTGGCAGTTTGGTTGATCTAGTCTTTTTTTGGAATCCTGGTGTGGCACTGTAGTATAAGCACTGTACTGCTAACCACAAGATCAGTGATTGAAACCCAACAGCCATTCCTTGGAAACCCTGACTCTGTGAGTCAGAACCAGCCCAATGGCCTTAAACCACAGCAACAACTGTCCTTTACTAACTAAAGATACTTTAATAGCTATCTTTGCACCTATGTATTTGCATGTTATACAACTCAATCTGTATTGAATTTTATTTCTAAGTTCATATTGTGTAACATTTTGGTAACACAAGGAATATAACAGAAATGAAAAGTTGTGGTGGTGTGGTGGGCTATGCATTCGGCTTGTTGTTGTTATTGTTAAGTGCCGTCGAGTCGGTTCCAATCCATAGCGACCCTGAACAGGGTTTCCGAGGCTGTAAATCTTTGCGGGATCAGAAAGCCTCATCTTTCTCCTGCGGAGCAGCTGGTAGTTTCGAACTGCTGACCTTGTGGTTCGCAGCCCGATTCGTAACCACTACGCTACCAGAGCTCCTTATGTGTTCAGCTACTAGCCACAAATTCAGAACTTTGAATCCACCAGCTGCTGCATTGGAGAAAGAGGGGCTCGACATAAGGTAAACCCTACATAGGGTTGCTATGAGTCAGAATTGCTGTGGGTTAGTTTGGATGTACCCCAGAAATCTCCTCTAATGATTTTTACGTGCTATATTTCTCCTATTGCTTTAGACCACTGTGTCCGGAAGCCTCTTCTTGGACCTTTTTCCTGGGTGACCCAGTGAACGATGGATGGTTACTGTTTGCAAGATTGATTCACATGGCACTTTTATTTGGCTTTTGACAGGTTGTTTATAAGAATAATGACATCCGTCTGGAACTGTCTCGCCTGGCCCGGATTGGGGACACCAAGATGAAAATCTATGGCGAGGTTGTATTCAAATGTGAGAATGTGGCTACGCTGGACCCCATCAACTTTGAGACCCCAGAGGCTTATATCAGTTTGCCCAAGTGGAACACGAAGCGTATGGGCTCTATCTCCTTCGACTTCCGCACGACCGAGCCTAATGGCCTGATCCTCTTTACTCACGGCAAGCCCCAAGAGAGGAAGGATGCTAGGAGCCAGAAGAACACAAAAGTGGATTTCTTTGCTGTGGAACTTCTTGATGGCAACCTGTATTTGCTGCTTGACATGGGCTCAGGCACCATCAAAGTGAAGGCCACTCAAAAGAAAGCCAATGATGGGGAATGGTACCATGTGGACATCCAACGAGATGGCAGATCAGGTAGGAAGATGCATCGAGTGTGACAGAGACCATGAAAGCTGTAGATTTTCTATTTTTGTTTTCTGGGCTGATAGGTTTTATTTTTAAAGGTTTGCACCTGCATGCTTATTGATTCTTTTGCCCCTCTCTTCAATAGTCATTGTGAGATTTTGTTTCTGAACAAGACACCTAGCTAAGCAACACTCATAGTCTCGTCCTCGCTCCAGCCCCTCACCAAAGTCTTCTCAATGTGAAGTCTCCGTGACCCTGGATCTAAAGATGACTATGCAAGTTGCATTTCCACCGCTTACAAAGCGATTGTCATGTCTCTCCTATGAAGGTGTTTTGTCCTCTCTTGCTTCTTCTTCCCCTTTTTCTCATTGTTATGGAAACCACTGTGACATCACAGATGCTGCACTGTGTGATTAGGCTAAGCTTCACTGTCTAAGACTTTATGCAAGTATACCCCTTTCAGTAATGGGCAAGAGTCATAGGACATAGAAATTAGGACACGAAAGAGAAAGGCACACTGATTTTTCCTGAAGTCATGTTCAATTGTAAGCCTTCCTCTGGCGTGAAAGCCTGTATTTCATTCTTTGCTCAGACCTAAGCCTCCCTTCCTCTTCATAACCTTTTACATTTGGTTTAAATGGCTTTGTTTGTTTCTGCAGCCTCAGATCAAACAACCTAGCCCCAGGCAGTACATAGCCACTCTGGAATAGTAACAAAGAGTAAGGAGTGAGGGGAGAAAACATAAAAACAAAACAACAACCCACACATAGAGAGAGTCTGGTGGTTTTGAATGCCTGAATAGTCTGCCTAGCTTTCTCTGGATCTTGTGGCAAAGAAGGTCACATGCTATGCCATCCGAAAGGTCATGTCTCTAAAAGGTGTAATTAGAACATTTGAATTTCAGGTTTATTTTCTGAATCTCCATTTTGGAGATTTAGTCTATTTGCCATCTTTGTGAAGATCTCACCTGGTGAAGGCACAAAAGCCTTCTAGTTGTACATTGTATTTCTAGGTGCATTTTGGTCAGTAAGAGAAAGAAGTAGGGCCCCCCAAAAAAAGCTGCAGAGTAGCTGTGCTTCAGTGGGATGATTTTCTGCATGAGTCCAGAGCTAGAGGGATGATGGTAATGATCACGTTGCCCTTAGGAATAGATAAGTGCCCTGTGCAGAGGGCAGACAGTGGCAGATTGCAGCCTTGGATACTTTATTGCTCTGCAAGAAGCTGTATCGACTGCCTGCAATCTGATACGAAGAAAGAGGCTTCAAATTCAGTGTGCTTGTTGAGCAAGAATGAACAGTTTGTGCTTTTTTTAAAACAGAAAAACACACACACACAATTAATTTCTCTGAAGCCTAAATCAATCTGCTTCTCTGTCCTTCTAGCTCTCTCTCTCTCTTTAATCTTTCTCTCACCATCCTTCTCTCCCTGCCTATCATCACCTCCTGCCCTAAATTAATCCATAAAATGTAGTGGCAGAGCCAGAAAGCAGTCCCAGAATTCCAAAGGAAATACTCCTTGGGTTGCCATAATACCATGTGCTCTGGGTCTTTGGGATTGGATCATAGTTGTTGGCTTGTGTCTGACTAATTCTGACTGGTGTGACTTGAACCCTTGACCCAGCTTAAAAGTCTGTGCCACAGACTGAAACACATGCCATTAACAGCTTTCTATTTCTGTGGTTTGGGGGTTTGTGTTTCTCCTGCACTAATTGCTGTTTCAAGTAGGGTAGTTCTTTTATTGTAGCTACTAAATATGTTTGGATTTCAGGGGCCTTGAAGTTCTTACCTGGAAGATATAGCATTTGGGTAATACTTTGAAGTGCTGGTGAATGTAATCAAAGCCTATAAAAAATGTGCTTGTTTCCAGGAAAACAGTATAACTTGAGTTTTTAAGATAATCTATTCAAATTTGTTCCCTCCATAGATAGTCATAGAAATATGAGTGTTTCTAAGTATGGTACATCCTCCTTGCGTGTGACTGACTGAGGAGCTAGGAAACCTTTTTTGACCATAACCCAGCTGGGAAACTGCTGCTTCAAACTTGCTATATACATTCAAAATGAACTCTGGTCTCTCACCCGCAAGACAGATTCTTTTCAGGAAGTACTGGAGGCTTCAAAATTGAAATCTGTTCTAGTACTACCTTTAGTTGGCAGTGGGTGTTCACCCCTTTAGTTGGTGACCAGATAGCTCTGTGGACACAGCAGATGGTGAAGAAAGAATCTGTGCAAGAGAGAAGATAGTAAGAGACATAACTCTCAACTTCCTCATGTGTTATGTAGAGAAAATAATAACTCCTCTCATGAGATTCTTGTGAAGAGCGCACAAAGTACTTAAAATGGTTTCTAGGGTATTATTTGAGTCCTGGTGTGGTGCTGTATGACAAATAGTAGACCACAAAGTCGATTTAAACTGCAAGATGGTGGTTCAAACCCACCACTTGCTCCTCGGGAACCCTGTACAATGTCATCGTGAGTCAGAACTGAATCTAAGGCACTTAAAAAAAAGATTATTATTTTTATGTAGGTTGTGTATCTGGTAAAATATATATAAAGTAAAACACTTGCCATTTCAACCATTTCTACTAGTATGGCTCCATGACATTAATCGTGATCACCATGTTGTACAACCATCACTAGTATCTGTTTCTAAGTTTTTCATCACCTCAAACAGAAAGTCAGCACCCCTTGAATAGTAACTTCCTATTCCCCCTACCCTCCAGGCCTGGTAAGTAAATGTGGTCTCTGTGCATTTGACTATTCTAGATATCTCAAGTAAGTGGGATCACATCATATTTGTCCTTTGATGTCTGACATATTTCCCTTAGCATAATGTTTTCAAAGTTTATCCATGTGTGTGGCATGTATCAGGACTTTTTTCTCCTTATGGCTGAGTAATATGTCATTGTATGTAAATACCATATTTTGTTTATCCATTCATCTGTCGATTACATTATGCAGTTTTGTTTCTTTGATGATTAAAACAAGAAAGAGAAGAAGGGGAGTAAAATGAATTTTTTTAGGAGCAAACTAGGAATGAGTCACGCCAGGCATGCTTGGTAGTTTAACACTCACAGAGGCCGCTCTGATGTCGTCGGCATCATCCTTTACATAGATGGTGCTTCGTGTTCCTGATCTCATTTGATCTCGTCAGCCCTCTGGGTTATACCCTTCATAGCTGAAGGGGTTGAGACTTAGACAACAGTGAAGGCTTAATGATGGATAGCAGAGCCCATTTCCTTGGGGACAAATAAAGCACCTTAGGAATAATAAATATTTATATTTTAAATTTCTGGCATGCTGTGTAGATGTCAGTTAATCCAATTCTTTGATTTTGTAGTTTAAGAAATGGAACCATGAAGTATTTCATGATCTGGCCTAGGGTCAGAAATCCATTTAGGACCAGAGCCCCTATTCTCAAATTGTCAGGTCAGGCTAGGGGGTTCCATCTTCTATAATATCATTTGATGGTGCCATGATGCAAATCTACCTTCAACTCATTTGATCATTGCCTATACTCTTTCTCCATTTTACCTCCTCCATCCTCCCTCAGGGCCTTCCCCCATCCTTGCATGCCTGTGTCCTTCTTAGCTTTCTGGTTCATCTTAACTGTTAGACACTTAGAAAGGTATGTGATGCTTTAAGTAGAACCCCTGGGCTGCTACCACAGCACCTGCCATGAGCAAATTCCTCTTATTTATCAGTGTGACTATTTTCTGTCCCTCGGCTCTGGGATGTCAGCTCTGTAGGAACAGGGATATGGCTGTCACATGCACTTCTGAATCTTTAGTGCTGAGAATGACATCAGAGACATAGTAAGTATTCAATACATATTTGCTAAATAATAAAGAAATATGCATGTTCTAGTTACAATTTATCAATGACAGTGCTAAATGAAATTCACTGGGAAAGCAAACAGTTTATGCCCATTCCAGCCAGAGGATATCAGAGTATGATAGGAGGGAGAGACAGAACAGGAAGTCCATGTCCATTCCTGCCAGAGGATATCAGAGCATGATGGGAGGAAGAGACAGAACAGGAAGTCCATGTCCATTCCCGCCAGAGGATACCAGAGCATGATGGGAGGGAGAGACAGAACAGGAAGTCCGTGTCCATTCCAGCCAGAGGATAGCAGAGCATGATGGGTGGAGAAATAGAAGTAGAAGTCACAGCCTTCAGAGGATGGCTTCCCATGCATGAAGCAGATTCAGGTGGACAAAGAATCCATACTCTGTCCTGGGCAGTGTTAGAAACAGTGAGAGAAATGAAATGATAATAGTATTGTTCCACAAACTTTTGAAGTTCCTTCATGTATGTATATATGTATGTACTTATGAAATGCCATTGAGCCATTTCCAATACAAAGCAACCCTGTATAGGGTTTCCAAGGAGTGGCTGCTGGGTTTGAACCACTGACCTTGCTGTTATTAGTATATAGTGCTTTATTGCACAGCACCAAATCAGGTCTCCTGATATGGTGCTGTGGGTTAAAGCACTAGATTGCAAGGTCAGTTAGAACCACATGGTTAATGGTTCAAACTCACCAGCTACTCCTTGCAAACCCTATACAGAGTCGCTATGAGTTGGAACCTACTTGGCAATACTTACAACAACAGCAACATATATATATACACACATACATACAGGGTGGTGGTGGTGGTTATGTGCCATGGTATCGGTTCTGACTCATAGCGACCCTGTACAGGATTTCCAAGGCTGTAAACTTTACAGGAGCAGAAAGCCTTATCTTTTTCCTGTGGAACAGCTGGTAGTTTCGAACTGCTGACCTTAAGGTTCGCAGCCCAATTAGTTACCGCTACGATACCAGAACTCCTTATACATACATACATACATACATACATACACACACACACACACACACACACGTATATATATACCTATCATTGGAAGTCTTCCTCTGTTTCACCGGCTCTCCACTTTACCAAGTATGATGTCCTTCTGCAGGGATTAGAACCTTACAATAACATGTCCAAAGTATGAGAGACTAAATCTCACCATCCTCTTGCTTTACTTCTTGTTTTTTTCTTTTTCCATTTTTAATCTCATTAATTTGGAAATCAATAAATGATTCCTCAGTGTCATTAGCATTTTACATCCTTTCTTTCTTTTGCAATTAATTGTAAAAAAAAAAAAAAAATGCTTATTGCTACAATTCTGGAAATTGCAGAAAAGTATAAAGAAGAAAAGAACCCAAAATCCTATCCTCCAAGTAAATCTATTGCTTACATTGCTGTATTTTTCTAACATTTTTCTGGGCATATTTTAAACATATTTAAAGGTTTATTATATATAACATTTTGAATCATGTTTTTCTTAAGGTTTTTATTATGAAATGAGTGCAACTTTACAGGGAAGATTATCAGTTTTACTTTCAATAAATCAAATTTTGCTTCATTGCAATGATTGCAATCCACTCCATGTACCATCAGTCAACAGTATTTACCTCTGTTCCCCCCCACCCCACCCCGCTTTTTTTCTGATGTATACATACAAAATAGAAGATGTGTATTTGTTTAAATGTCTAACGGGCACTCTTTGCAATCCAACCTCCTGTCTGCAGGCACACAGCCTTTTTCAGTCCATGGGCCTACAATGGGCAGCTGTGCTATCTCTCTGTGCCATCACCTCTGCCACTGTCTCTGCTGTTGCTCCATTTCTGGTTAGGATCCCACACTCCATTCTTGTTCTTCCTTCTTGCTGGTCCTGGGGTCCTCTGTTCCTGAAATGGAAGATTAACTACTCCCCTCTTTTAGTTATACACAAGAGTGCTGATAACAATTACTCACAATTGAATTGCAAAATCCTATCCCCATCTACTCCCATCCCCTTTCACTAGATCCATCTGGTAAAGAGGAAAACTATTCAGTGGGGATTCTACCTTGCCCCACCCCTCATGTTCTGAAACTAAGCACACTTATGAAAGCTTGTAGGCCAGCTACTTTGTGCCTTTATAGCCCCATGTTTATGATAGCCAATGTCTAAGTTGTCCATCTGTATCAACCCAGTGTACTTAGGAGACAAACTTGATATGAAGCATCCTTCCTTTCAGCTAGAATCTTGAGCAACTACATCCCTAAGCAGAGATCCAGTTCATTGAATTGTGGCAATTTATGCTTGCTTCCTATGTCAAACATTTTTATCTTCTTCTGGTTGAGTTCTAGTCAGCTAGCCATCCAAGCTATGCCAAATGGGTACTATCTGCGAGTGTTGGAGTTCTTGCATACCTGCTCCCACTTCAGATTATCTGGCCACTTCACACTCAGCTGTAGCCTCCATTGGCTAGGTCCATGTCCATGGGCTCAGGAGTTCACACTCTTCCCTATACTTCAGACCAGCCAATCCTTCCTCTTCTCGCTCTCATTTCAAGATCAATGGGTGTCTATGGAACATGGCCAAACTCACTGGTTGTGCTTCTTACAACACAGATTTGTTTGTTCTTCTGGAATTCCAGGGTACTTTTAATAATCTCAACACCATAATTCAAATGCATCAATTCTTTTACTCTCTTCCTTAGTCACTGTCCAACTTGCGTATTTATATCAGGTTATTGAAAATACTGTGGCTTGTGACAGGCGCACTTGAGTTCTCAAACTGACACCTCTGCTCTTGAACACTTTAAATAGTTTTGTTTAGCAGATTTGCCTAAGGCAATACATCATTTGGTTTCTTGACTGCTGCTTCCCTAAATGTTGATTGTTCATCCATGAAGTCTTTGACAACTTTAATATTTTCTCTATTTATCAGGATGTTATTTATTGATCTGGTGTTGAGTAATTTTTGTTTTCTTTACACTGAGGTGCAATCCATTATTGAAGGCTGTGGTCTTCGATCTTCATCAGTTAGTATTTTTAGTTATCTTCACTTCCAACAAGCAAGGTTGTAGCATCTTCTTGTTGATGAATCTTCATCTAGTCCTGATGCCACATTATTCTTCATATAATCCATCTTTTTGGATTATTTGCTCAGCATAAAGATTGGATAAGTATGGTAAAAGAATACAGCCATAATACACACCTTTCCTGATTTTGTTTAAAAGTTGTGTAAGTCGTTGGTCTTTCACAATTCTGTCATGTGGTCTTCAGCATCATTTCTATCACCAAGATCACATTTTCTAACTATTGCTCCTTTCTTTTTGTTTCCAACCTTTGCATTCCAGTCAGCAGTAGTTACTAATACATTTCGATTGCATGTTTGATCAATTCAGATGGAAGAAGTTGGTAGAAGTCTTCAATTGCACCATCACTGGCTTTAGTGGTTGGTGCATAAATCTTAATTATAGTAGTATGAACTGGTCATTCTTGTAGGCATATGGATATTATCATGTCATAGACAGCATTGTACTTCAAG